CTAATATTGTATCTACTTTGCATTTCCTGAAAATTTCAGCTCACTCGCATAAGTCCTTCATGGTGTTGCAATTTTCACAAACATGAGTTTAGTTGATTGAGTTTAGAAATAGTGAAATAAAGCAAATGCTATATTAAGTTAAAATCTATCCTAAAACTGCAGTATTCCAATCAACTGAATATAAATTGAGTGAAAAATCAAATATGAATGATGGTTATTTAAAAAAAATATCAATAGAGGAATATTAGATATTAGTCTAAAAAATATAAAGAATTTGTTAATGTCATTTTTATTATTGATATTTTTGAAGCGATTCGAAAAATTGAATCAGAGCTTAAAACCTGTTTTAAAGTATTGATTTGAATCAGCTATTTAAATTTAAGCGATCAAATTAAAATTACTTCGATGATTCGTCTCGCCCAACTCGTGTATGTCACAGTTGATATGTATATGTTACATGCATTATATTTGCACTAGCAACATATATTTCTTTAATAAAATTTGAGAATAGCAAAAATTTCGCGGATGAAGTTGCCCTAATAAATATAATTTACATTTTTCTTTCGAAAATTGATTAAATAAATTTTCTAGTCTAATAATAAAAGTAATATGTCAAATTTGAAGATACGATGTTTTGTCTAGTTTATGAAGAAATATATACACTCTAATTGTAAATACTGCAATAGATAAGTTAAATAAAATAGTAAAGGTATTTAACAATATCGTGATAAGTAGTTGGAAATAACTAAATTTCCGTGTGTCTTCATCTACGAAGCTTCAAACATTTAATTAATTAAATCAAACCGAAATTTAAGTCAATATTTTGAAAGCAGATATAAAACTCGAAAACTTTAAAATTATATTTAACAGACATAAATTGAATAGAAATGAACTTTTCAAACAAAGACTGAGGAAACGATTATAATAAAAGAGCAATTGTTTAAAGGAAATTTTAACTAACCGTCTAAAATAAACCAAAAGAGTCTCTTTAATTTTATGTTTAAAGCTAATTCTTTTTTATAGAAAATCTTTCACAAGATTTCATTATTATTCTGTGCGTAGCTACATAAACGTTCGCAAATCCAATTAAATTTTCCTCTGTGTCAACTCGAGCGTTCTTAAACTAAAAGACTTGATTCAGTTGGAAAGAAAGGCAAACATTTACTGCTTTCTATTTTTAAAACAGATAACTTTGAAACGATGTCAAGGAACAAAATGAACATTTTAATATTCATTTTTTGCCGTATTTGCGTAAAAAACCTATTAGCATCTCTTGTTTTATTTAATATTTTTTGAATAGAATTACAGTTTTATTAGGTTTGGAGTTAATGATGGCGACAAATGTTCTACAACAATTTGAAAGGTAAAAAGTAAAAGAAAAAAAAAATGGAAAAATAATCTTAGTATTTATGGCACGAAACTATGTGTCTTCCCCCAAAAAGTATATTGCATAGTTTACTTTTAAAAATAAACACGATTATGTTTAATATCTTTTATTTTATTTTTATGCTATGTTTATGACTTATTTCAAGAAATAACCAATTTATATTTATGAAAAATTTTGTATTTTTATCGTGGTCATAAAAAAGAATTTACATAGAGTAGATTTACAGCGTCATGCTTTGCTTTGAAACTTGGTTAGTTTACATTTTATTTTATGATGAAATACGTATATTTATTAGGTATTGAAGAATGATAAATTTTTATAACGCAAAATGGAAATTCTCGCAATTGGGTATTTGGAAGAAGGGTAGTGATTATGCGAAACCATGAAATTTAAATCAGATTTAATTGAATACTTGTAAGCGACGTCACGCGGGTGTGTTGAACTTGATTGGCTTCTGAGTTGACAAATACCACTATTCATGTACGATGACGTCACTTGCAGGCATCCAATTTGATCATGACGTTTCAATGTTTGGGGTAATAAGAAAGATGGGTAAAAATATACTTGAGGGTGTCCCTTGGGGAAATTGGCCACTTATGTTTGGCGCCCTTCCTGTTTGGGTGGAACACCGTGGTAACAGGAATGGCGGCCAAAACATAATGATATTTCAATAAAACATTTGAAAATT